TTTTTATTAAAAAAATTAAACTTTTTAATAAAAACACAGGCAAATTTGCCTGTGTTACAATTTAAGAGATAATATAATATAGTATAAATTTCTTATAAATAGATGCTAATTGTATAAAGAAACAAAATTTTGCTTACAATAGTAACTTACAATATTATTTATAATTTATTAAAAATGTCCTGAAAACAAAGTGTAAAAGATATTTTAAAAACCATTAGCCAAGATTCATTTTATCAATTTAAATTTTCTACTTTAACTTCTAAACTATTATCTACTTTAACTATAGAACACATAAAATAGTTATATACAATTGCCCAAAGTGTAAAGGCAAGTTTGTTGATTCTTGTACAAAAGAGCAATACTCTTTAACTACTAGCCAACAATTGTTTCAAACAAATTTAAATAAGATAAAACAACCAGCTCTATTTAAAGAATTAAGTAGTCTAAGTTAATTAAATAATCTAAGTTAACAATCGGTAACAACAATTAATTTGTTGTCAGATATAAAAGGAGAGGATAATAATAAACTTTTACCTAGCCTTGATATAGATAACTTAATGTTTTTACCAAAAAATGCCAATAATTATCAAGTGCTAAAATAAATATTTTAGATACAAAAGAACAAGTTATCACTTCAGCAGATGAAAATAGTAATAATAATATTGTATTGGATTACAATAATAATGATGATGATAATCTATTATCTAAAGAAGAATTAGCCAAAGGTATTCGGTATAGCAATATTAATAAATTTGAAGATTATTCAGCACCGAATATTGATTATGAAAATAAATCTCAATCTAGACTTAGAATACCATCTAGTTTTGATGATATATTAATTTGGCTATTAAAATTTCAAAGTAATTTTAAAGTGTCTAAAACAGCTACTAAAATTTTAATTAAATATATTTGGCAACTATTATGTGAGTTTGGTGATGAAAATCTTTTTAAAGATTTTCTAACCTCAATGTATATGCTTTAAAAACATCTTAAAATTAGTAACTTTATAACATATTTAGTATGTCTAAAATGTAACAAACTATATACTAAAAAAGAGGTTGTTGATTCACAGAATAATAATAGACAATTATCAGTAAAAAAATATAATTATATTTAAATTTCTAAATATAATTGGATCTAGGCAACTAGTTATATGTAATTTGGCCTTATTAATACAAATTGATATCTAATTAATAAGCCAATTTTACTTTATCCTTTTGCAAGTATCAAAAGTTAATTTGCAAAATATATATATGTTCTAATTTTAAACAATTATGTAGAAAATAGATTCAGAGGTGTGGTGACTTAGTGTAGTGGTCTAGTCATTACTCTCTCCAAGTGGCAGGTCTAGAGTTCAAATCCCATAGACGACGAATTTTGAAAAATAGCCTGTGCTATGGTTTATGGTTGTCAATTATCAGTTGGATCCAGAAATCTGTAATCTCGGTCACACCATCTAGTTATAAAAGCTTTGGCACAATAAATCTGAGAAACCAGAATAACCAAAAACCCATTTGGCAAGTCCCGAATTTGGAGATAGCAGTGATCTTCGATGGTACCACAGGAGGGCTGAATTTGAACTGGGCCTGAGATTGGAGAACCAAGCAACCAGGTCCTTAAATGGGGGACACACTAGCCAAACTGCCGGGCTGATGCACTGGAGGAAAAAGGCATACGCTCTAAAAGTATGGACCAAGAGGAGAGCGTCCTTTAGGTACCTAAAGCCTGGGCAGACCAACCTGTTCGGGTTGCCGGCTGGAAGTAAAGGAGGGACCAATAAAGAATTCGGGTAAAAAGACAAACTGAATGCGGGTATCGGGATTGTTGTGAACCAGATAAGGGCAAGGAGTACGTAATGGCGACTAATTAGAAAAAGGGCTTGAGATATGGATTGTGTTATGGCAGCACCCAAAAGGTAGCATGAGATACGAACACAATGGTGGCAGACAATATGTACTAATTGGGAAGAATTACCGAACATGTAGGTGAATACATGTGTAGGACATGTACTGCTCTGTTAGGTTTATCTCGAGGATAGATTAGCCAGAAATAGTTGGTAAGTCCTAAGGCAGTCGGTGTATCCTTTGCA